CAGGTTCTGGACAGACTGCTTTCACACAAGGGCCACTTCTGCCTTTATTGCTCATATGATCTTGGTTAAGTATTAACCTCTCTAGGCCTCTATTTCTCCATTGAGAATGAGGAAAATTATACTACCTATCTTCTAAGGTTACTATTAGAATTATATGAGCTGAAGCATTCAATGTTTTCATAAGTGTGGTTCTGAAAAACAAAATGCATACGCAATCATAAAACATAAGGAAATGTCACAGAGTGTCTCTACTGTGTGCCAAAGGTCACATGCAAACATGCATTGCAGCATTATTTGTCTGATTTCGCCACATAGGGAATAATAAGGGTAGCAAAGTGACATGAAGCCAGAAGCCAGAATCTAGTTCACAAAATGCCCTCCATGAAGCCCTACACACTTGCTTCAAAGAGGCTACAAGTGTGGCTCCCACCTTTCTAGCTTCCAATGTGAACAAGGAAGCATTCATAATTATGGATTTGTTACATCCACACATGAAAACTTGTTGGCCCTGAGACCTGAAAGAATATCCCGGGGCCCTGTTAGCTGTCCTAAAGATACTGTGTCACACAAGGAAGGGTGCCTTCCCCTCCCGCCTCAAGGCAGCACTGAGTGGCCCAGAGCTCTTTATCATAATGTGTGCCCTGCATTGACAGATGGCATCCCCCACGTGCAGTGCAGAAAATGTGACTCTATGAGGCCCACGTGGTGCAGGTCAGACAAGAGGACTCTCTGCCAAGGGGCCGACTTAACATGGGAGCAGACGTTAGCGAAGGGATGGAAAGCAGACGGTGCAGGTGGAGGCTTGAGGTTCTTTATTATCCTCCCAGATTAACACTAGGGGGCAGCACCCCAAGGCTGGTGCTTCAGTGTGCGGACATACTTTAGCAGCCTGATAGCGGTGACGACTAATACCTTTTTGTAAAAATAAGCACCACACAGGATCAATCCACTTCTGGTGGGAAAAAGTCTTAAAGGAGTACCCCTGGGATGAACAAAAAAGTCGTCCTGGAATAACTTCCTTTCTGCTGTCACCAAGAGACAACAGTGATGGACAGGGTAATGTAATGTTAGCCTGTAATGATCAACTGATGATGACCATGATGGCCGCCAAGGACAAACCGCTGGTTACTGCACATTATTTTCATCGAGTCTTTGCAATAACCCTATGAGGTGAGTACTATAATTTGAAATACAACGAATGCTTTTAAAATACTAAATATTGTCTCCATAGACAAATAGGTCCCATGCCTTCCTGAGAGAGACCTTGGGATGAACAGGAATGCACAAATCAGAATAATTCAAGTAAGGTTTTTTCACACACTTGACAAACTAAGAAAATATCAAGCAGATTCTGCAGTAGTCACCATGTAAGTTAACTGGCTTCAACGGGGCCACGTTTTAGCTCAACAATTAATTAGTTGAGGAACACTGAGCAAATTATTTCACTTCCATGTACCTATCTATATATATACCCTCATCTGTGAAAGTGTTCAGATGCTCTTTAAATAAATACCAGAGGGTAGAGTCGGTACATACACACACACACACACACACACACACACACACACACACACACATTCATATACAAATATTTTCACACCCTTAGTGGAATCATTACAATGGCTGAAGTAGCTCTTCCAACACATCGAACCACATCAGTAAGAATATGGAGCCAGTCAAAGCTCATAGCCTCGTTCAAAGCCCGCTCTCTCCTAACTGTGCCCACATGAGCCCCAACTCTTCTGAGTACCGGCGGGACTGACTTTCAAATGATATTTGTTTCTAAAAAGCAAACTATCCTAATTTTTACAAACTCGTCAACTGTGCTATACTGGCACAAGTGTGGCTCTTCTGTTCTTGCTTTTCTCCTCCAAACACACATACTCCATCACCCCAACAACCCCCCAAAAATAAATTTTGGTCATACCTGAAAATTGGCTACAATGCCCATTCCGATACATCCCACCAATCCCAGAACTAACGACACCAAGTTAAAAACAGGCGTGCTGAAATAGCTGGTTTGATTCTGCTTCTCCACTATTTTATATCTTGTGTACATCGTGGCTGCACCTGAAAAAGAAAAGTACTGAAATGAATTTCTGTTACTTGACTTTTCGGAATGAAAAACACAGAAAAAGCTTTTCGTTGCTCTTTTAAAGTCTGTATTTTCAATTTCCTGATTGCAATAGTCTCCCCACTCGCCCATCCCTGTCCTTCCTCATCCCATCCTACTCTCTCCCCAGGGTGATGAACACACTCACGCACACCTCTTTTTGGCTGTTATCCTTTTCACATAAATGCTATTGGGCACGTATTGTTCTGTGACTTGCTTTTTTTCACTTAAAAATGTACCATGGAGATCTTGCCATGTCGGTACAAATAGGTCTATCTCATTGTTTTTCGGGGTCTCCTCATGGTATATAGTGAAGTGCCATATTGATTTCATCATTCTCTTAATGACAGATTTCTACATTGTTCCTACATGTTTCCTACTTCAAACAATTCTCAATGAACATCCTTGGGTATATAAGTCTTTGGCACACTTTCAATGTTTCTGAAAGATGAATTCCTAGAAGTAGCATGACAGGGTCAAAAAAACTGCACAATTAAAATGTCAAGAGGTATCTCCAAATTGTGCCAAGACTGTAGCAGTTTATACTCACACAACAGAGTTTGAAAGCAATTCTATATGTCATTGCCTTTTAAGTTATGGCCAAACTAATGAATGAAAAATGGCAAGCTGTTGGTTTAATTTGCATTTCTCTGATCATTAGTGAGACTGAGAAACTTTCAGTATGTCTGCTGGTCATACACATTTCTTTTGAGAATTGCATGTCATTTTTTCTTATTTTTCTCTTGAGTTTGTCTATTCATTTTTAATTTAGTTACTTTTATACATTATGTACATTAGTCCACTGTCCGCTAGAAATATTACATATTTTCTTCTGGTCTGTTGTTCATCTTTAACCTTGTTTCTGTATCTTTCACCACTTAGAAGTTTTAATTTTCTATCTACCCAAATCTTTCAATTCTTTCCTATTTAGCTTCTGGTTTTTGTATAAATTTAGATAAAGTTCTCCATCCTAAGTTTTTAAAAATATTTCCTATAATTTAATCCTTTTATAGTTTTTGCTTTCATGTTTAGTTCTGTAGTTTCCACTGGTTTTTGTGAATGATGTGAGAAGGGTACTAAAGGTATGTTTTTCCAAAAAGCTAGTCAATTAACCAAATACCATTTATTGTTTTGGAGAGTAATTTCACAATAAAATGTAATCTTCATGACAGAAGGGTCCTTGTCTGTCTGCTGTTGTGACTCCAGCCCTAAGCACAGAGTCTGTCACAGAGTAGGCACTTAGTAATATTTTTGCTGAATTTTAAAAAAGCAAGCTAAAGCTAATTTTTTATCATAGACTATTTTAAATGAAGATATTCATGTCAGATTCTGCCTTGCTTAGAAGCAAAAATCCATATTCATCACTTGCTGGTGATAAAATAATCTGTCTTCTAAATCTGGACTCCAGGCAAGTATGGTATAAGAGGGCAATTGGATTGATGGACTATTTCTATTTCCCCTTGCTCACCTCTAAATCCGTGGAAGGGGACGACCACGAATGGGTGACAGGGTGAAACTTTCTACCAAGTTGGATGATCAAATTCCAAAGGTGTCAAGTCACTAAGTAGGGTTTCCAGCACCTCTGTCCCTTCCCACCCTGTACCAATAGAGAGGGACAGAAGTGCTGGTTACAGGAGAGGCTCTTGGAAAACACCTGATTGTTCCATAGGGTAGGCGTTTATGGAAGGACTAAGGAAAGAGTCCTATATCTTACATCTATACACCTGGATCACTCCATCATAGATTGAGTTTTTCAGTCAGTACATTAATTTGCTCACGAGAGGGTTGTTTTCTAGCAACTGCATCTCAGGTGCACTTGAGGAATTAAAAAAAAATCATACCTGAATTGGAGACAAACGTCTCTGCTTCACCTTTCCCCTCTCTTTAACAAGTGAGACAATACCTTTGTCAGTGGGTTCTCGGCTTTAGTGAGTATCTAAGTCCCCTAGAGTGCTTGTTCACCGCTCATGCTCCTGGCCCCACTCTAGAAGTTCTGACTGAGTAGATCAGCAATGTGGCCCCGAAACATGCATTTTAACCAGCACCCCAGATGATTTTCATGTACGTTGCCTTCAGAACACACTCTGAGAAATTGTAGTTTATATATTAGGTCTCTTTGGTTTCCACAAATCTATTGGATATAAGTCGCAATTTTAAAAATCAAAATACAAATAAAATCTATTTCAAAATCTTGTGGCAAATTACCGGATGAAGTGAAAAATAGTTCTTTAAGAAGATCATAAATAACTCTGGATTTCTAGTCATTTAGCTTCTCGAAGTAAAGCAAAATTCTAGTTTGAAAGGTTGTACTTTTAAACGATGATACGCATCAAGAGTGAACCTTGATGTAAAAACTATGGACTTTGTTTTATTATGATGTGTCAATGAATATTCATTAACTCTAACTAATGCGTCACTCTGGTGGGGGATATTGATGATGGGGGAGGCTGTGGGGGTGGGGAGAGGAGCAGAGGCTATATGGGAAATCTCTACCTTTGGCTCAGTTTTGCTGTAAATCTAAAACTGCTCTAAAATAATAAAGTCTGTGAAAATTTATTAAAAAATAAAAAATTATACACAAACTGTAAATCATATATTTCATGTCACCGGAGATTGTGCATTATTTATTTATTTATAATAATTATTATGGACTTACCAAGAAATGCAGAGAAGTTTATCATAAATCCAAAAATACCACTCTCTGGAGGTGTTGTTCCTGTGTCACTGAGAAAGAGAAGAAATATCCGAATTATTAAAAATGAATTCAGTTCAGACCTCTGGGCGGGCATGTGATTGGCAGGTTTTATATTGTGTTTCTTCTAGGTGTTAAGTCACTATGAATTCCAAAGATTTGACCCGATTTTGTTCTACAGTATTTTCATTTTGGCTCCGAAAAATCTAAAATTCATTTTTCTCCCATGAAAGATTACATTTTTCTTTTTTTTTATTTCATTGTAAAAAGCTAGGAAATGCTTAAAGTGAATGGTGTGGTGGTGTTTCTGAAATGATCGAGCTTAATAAACTTGATTGATATATGTCCATTCTTGGTGAAGACTTCATTGCGACTGTTTCAGGGAAAAAATTAGTCTAAAATCACATTTGAAAAATCTACTCTTGGAATATTAAATACACATAAACACATTTAAATTTTCTTAACAATTTTATTTATGCACAAATTCACACTGCTGAAAATATAATCATGAAACTCTGAACAATATTATTGATGCCTATCAGTACTTTATGGAAACAATAGAGTATTGAGGTCATATTAATTGTGATAAATTATTTTAACAAAACATAGTTTATATAAAACATTTTCCAGGTGCGTCTATCAATTCATTAATTGAACGAGCTGGAAACTGTGTTTGACAGGTCCTGTTCTTTATTCATCAATGTCAAGGTTTGAATGTTTACATCTTCCAGCTGCTCATATAAAGCAACAGTTTAAAACTGATAGCAAAAGAGCTTCCAACAGGAAACAACGCATACCCATCTTGCGTCTTCCCACATTTTCAAACAGTTCTGAAATTCGAGTATCGAAAACCTGATCATGTTGAAAAAGACGCACTTCAAAGTATTTGAAAAATTCCACAAGAAGCCTGTGTTTGTGGAAAGTAGGAGCCTTTAAGTTTCATGAACACTTAATATTTGAAGAGTATAAAGAGGTTAATGTTCCTCCTTTTACTCGAAGGCCTCTATTTATTCTCAATGATTTTAATCTCAGTGTCACTTTTAAGAATCTGAAGAGTTTCGAATTTAACATTACAATTTTTCCCCCAAAATAACCATTCTTCTCACTAAAGAAATGTTGAAGTGAAGGCAGCCTGAGATGGGGGACACCCTTCTGGGCACGATATGGGGCTGAGTGGGTGAGGAGAGAATGGAGCCAGTAATGGGAAGAAGGTAGAGATCGCTCCAACCCTTGGGCAGCACTTTGGGGACGGAAGATTCATTCTCACAGGGAAATCAAGCCTTTTCTTCTTGACATCAGGATATAAAACAGCAGCAGCCAGGTGACCCATGCAAGAGGACTTGTTAACAAAAGTCTAAGAGTAACCTGCCACATGCCAGTAAGACGGTTTGTTTGTTTGTGGAGGAAGAGAAGGAAATGAAAGAGTGAGGAGGATATTTAGGGGGATGGGGAGTTAGGGGGACGAAGGTCTTCTAACAGGAGATAAGAAGACCAGACTCAGGGACTGTCAGTCCACTCACAGAAAACCAAGACATACGGCAAGGGCCCAGATGTACAGGCCACACAACATCAGACATGCGATCTGAAAGCTCAGAATTTCAGGGTGGTGTTTAATTCTTGTTTGGCTGCACACTAAAAACAATACAGGCAGGATCAAAAGTGTTTTGCCAATAACCACTCCATATGTATTTTTTGAATAAATGACTATCAGTATTTGCAACAACAACAAAAAAAAACTGACCTAAAAGATACCACTTATTGAACATTGACTATGCACCAGGCACTGTTAGGTGCTTATCATATATACATGGGTCCTATATCAACTTCATTTTACGAAGGAGAAAACTGGTATTAGAGAACTCATCCTGTTCAAGGTCACAGAGCTATTACATAGCAGAATCTATATTCCAGTCCAGATGTCTAACTCCCTAACTTTCCTGCCTTCATTGTGTTCTAACAGCAGGCAAGGAACAAAGCAATTAGAAGAACTATTGGGGGTGAGGCAGAGAACCAAGACTGATGTGCTGGTAAAGGCTTAACAACCAGCTCTAGTTGACTTGTGGCATAAGCCCACTTCCATGGTATAAATACTTTCAAAATGTCAAAAATTCAAGCTACCAAAATGTAGGTCACTGAACACAGAGTTGGGAAGCAATGCACACAGTTGGCTTTCGGGAGCACACACCAGCTGTCTCCAGCACACCTGGGCAATGAACCACGATGGTAATAAGGAATCATCACACCTTTGCTGTATACCAAGAAAAGGTCAAGTAAGCAAGACCTCACAGCTTCTTGAATGCCATAATTTAATTGTAAAGGTCTTTCACAAATATTCACTGCCATGGTAAATCTGATTTTCTTTCAGAATTCCTGAGTCTCCAACACTTACCGTCAATGCACAAGCACCAATGGGATGACATTCCTACACTTGGCAAAACATAGGCAGTGTTGACATTACAAAAGTTGGGGAAAATATTAATGCATTCATAACCAGTTGTTTGATTAAATGCAGCCATCTTTAAAAATTTTTTTTTTTGGCTCCACATCTAACTATGAAAATTACCCACTCCTCAAAAAAATATTTACGGAACACCTACTATGTGTTAGACATAATTGGAGACACAAATTCCCCAATCTGTCAGGTAAGAATGGTCAGTTTGTGATTTATTTCCATTAAAATGACAAAATGGTACCTAAAACATTTGGTGAAATTTTGTTCAAGAATATCTAAAAAGCTTCCCAAGCAGCAAAAGAAAATGTGCTAATATGTTATATCATATATAAATATCGCTTTACATCTTCTGCCTGATGTTGGAATCCAGATGAGTATAACACTGAGGAAGTACCAAGAGACCCTGTGGGCAGCGTCTCTTTGTTTTATTAATTTTTTTAAGTTCAAACTAAATTATCTAATTGTGCAAAGGCAGAAGTAGTCGTCTTTGGTTGGTGTGGCTGTACTTAGGTACCATATTCTTCAGGAAACTGGAAAATGAGAAGAAAAATCTGTTGCTTCCTAACCCAGCAAAAGCAATTTCCCTACTCAACTCCCAACCACATGATCTTGTACCACGTGGCTTAAGCAATGTGGTTCCAGCCCTGCCCCAGTCCTATCTACCTCCCCACTTGCCACCTCATAAATGAGGCACTTCTTGAAAAGTGAAGAGGGGATAGGAACTAATAGCTCATTTGCATGTGGCTTAGAAGCTGTTGAGATTATGTGTACACGGTAGTTTCCAGGGTAGGTCGTGCCTAGGAAATCAGTTTATGTCTACACTTCCTTCATTTGTAATTCTACAAGTTAATTTCATCATGGAAAATTCCAAGTCATTCATCTAACATCCTTCTCCAAATTAATTTGTAATGTTAAGCTAGTGCGTAATCACTTGATGTTCAAAGGAATGGAAACAATACAAAAAAGACATGTATGACCATATGAGCTTGGTCAAATGCTGTTCTTTAAATCACTGGATACATGCAATTCCATTACTCTAAAGCTTGGAGTCATGGTTTATTGGGAGGACTGACATGGCAAGATGCAAACTTATCTACGTGCCCAGACTGAGGCTTATTAAAATCCTAGGCCCATTGCTTGGAAGAGTAATCAAGACTTAGAACCTAAAAACACTTAATGCACCAGTAAAAGGAGGTCATTACTTCCTCTATCTTCACAATATTTAAATACATTATTTAAAAGGAATAAGTATGATAATAAAAAGTAATTACATTTTATGAGATGCTTTTAATTATTAAGACTAACTTTTAGGCAGCTTTACTTGGTGACAATTACCTTAGAGTGGCATGGTAAAGCTATATAGACTATTTTCAAATGTAAAAAGAATTTCCTACTCGTAAATGCAAATAACTTGCTCTTTCCTCACATGACTCATATATAATTTTCCCTCTGTCAATTTGAGTTTCCTCTTTGGTCACTCATATAACATTTTTAAAAAAATTGTTTAAGCTTCGGGAACTGTGACAGTTGATTGGGGATACAGAGATAAAAAAAAAAAATTCACTACCTTCAAGAAGCTTGATAGCTAACAAAAACTTCAAGGATTCATTGATTCAACACGTAGTTACTGACTGCCTTCTGTGTAATGGGCAACTTTGTAGGCATGGTGAATGTAGTTGTAAATAAAACAGAAAAAGTCCCTCTTTCGTGGAACTTATATTCCTATGCGGGGGGCAGTAAAAACAGTCTCGGGGTGATAAATGCTGTGAAGGAAAGGAAAGCTGGAGAAGAAGACAGAGGGCTAGGTGAGCCACCAACCTGAGACAGGGTAATCTGGGAAAGGTACTTGAACAGACATCTGAATGAAATGGAATATTTGGGCCAGGAAAATTACAAGCAGAGAGAATAGCGAAGCCAAAGCCCTAGAGGTGGCAATATGTTAGAGGAACTGCAAGGAAGTGGTGTGGCTGGAGGGGAGCGAGCAAGGATGTGTGTGCATATGGGGAGGGAGTCACGGAGAGCCCCATGGTTACGATAAGGACTCCGAATGTTATTCTAAGCATGAGGGAAAGCTGGTGAGGGCTGAGAGCAGGGAAGTGATGTGAAGTTAATGTTTTTAAAGGATGGTACGAAAGGACTGTGGAGGGACAAGTGTAGACCAGGAAAACCATATGAGGGAGCTATTCCCGCAGTTTGTCAAGAGATGACAGTGGCTGGGACCAGAGCGTTAATCAAGAGGGAGGTGAGTAAGAGGTCACATTTGAGAAGTTTTTTGAGGGGAATCTAGAAAGCATTGCTGCTTAGACTAAAGCTGTTGATATTACAAAAGAAAAAATAATTAACGTTTTCTCGGCACTTACACTTGGCCAGGCACATCTTCACAACATTATAAGGAAAGTACCTACTATCGCGATCTGAAAAATGAGGAAACTGAGTCTTAAAAAAGTGACCTACTCAAGGTCAAATAGATAGCAAACGGGGACGCCAGGTCCTGCATCTAGAGCTGGATAATTTTAATGGACACAACTTAGGACTCTTCTCTGTTGTGCTTTGTATGATATCATATTTCCATATAAGTTT